ACAGCTCTCGCGTCGCAGCAAAGACCGACTCCCCTCCTTTGGCGGCCTCGCCACACCATTGGAGGGATATATCATCCATGAGGGCCCTCGGCTTAATTGACGGATACCTAGCGACAAGTTTTTTTGACAGGGCCCAGCAGCACGGCGAGCATGTTGGCGCAGGCGTGAGCACAGCTTGCTAAGATTCCCTGAAAAGAAACGTAACTCTCGCTCAGACTCCCGTACGCGTCGATCCTACGGGGCGCCACATAGCTTTGAATCAACATCCAACCTAAGCGGGGTGGGAATCCCACTCTCCGGTAGACGTCAAAAAGAGCCGAAAGCTTGATCATTTCATAGCATTTGGCCATGTCTAGGAGCACGCTGATCCAGTGCAGGCCCCTTGCTTTGGCAACTTCCGCGGAAAGGTTCAAATCGAAGGCCGAATCTCTCGCATTCCTCCCCTTCCCGCTACCCCGGAACTCCTCCGTCCTATTGGCACGCTCCCAGGCCTCGCTGACAGGCCTGCGGGCTCGCGCCCACACTCTGATGAAAGAGTCGAGGAGCGCAGTTAAACGATGTCCCCCGTCTGGCTTGGCAAGACGGAAGAGCCTGCTTACAATCCTGTCCTTTGGCCAACAGAGACAACGTTCGCATTGATGCAGCAATGATGCAAAGGCCTCAAGGGCCTGGTCCGAAAGGTACTGAAGCGAACGAGGATGTATTTTACAGCACCCCACGGCCGTGGTCACAAGGAACTTCAAACTGGCAGCTCTCAGGTCGGCCACCGAAAGCTCAGGGAGTTCTTCCCAAGACTCGGCATCCCCAGGGATCTCGGGTCTGGCGCACCCATGCGTGGCCCAAATAAGCCCCCAGTCCGAAACAACCTCATCCGAAAGCTCATAGGGCTGGGCTCTCTGGGTGGCTCCAATGACCTCCTGGACTGCACGAGCTCTAGAGTACCTGTGCGCCTGGCGGGTTCCTCCTGAGAAACTCTCTCGAACCCATCGTTGCCAGTCTTCTGACTTGCTGGCGAGGTGGGCAGATTCCTGAAGCGACGCTCGCTCCAAGATGCGGTCGCACAAATCCTGAAAGAAAGGGTCGGCTAGGGCCGACAGGCCAGCTTTAAAAAGAGCACTACTGAGGTGGTCCAGCTCCTTGTGCACCCACTCGACCTTGGCGATGCGGTCGCAGAACCTGTCGGCATCCACCAGCACCTTGGCCATACGACGGAAACGTCTTGTCTGGTCGCCGTCATCCACCTCCAGCCTCGGCGCGAACGCGTGCAAGGCCTGGCTGACCGAGCGCAGGTGACGGGCCCACCTGGCCGCCGTAGCCCACGCTGCCTGCGCGGGCTGAAGCTGGACCGCACGCTTCTTCGGCACGAAACTGAGCTCCTTCCAGGTCACCTCGTGCTTGCCAGCGTAGCCCTCGTAGAATGAACGTTTCGGCCCTACAATATCGTGGCGATCAAGAAGCTCACGCTCAACTCCCGTGAGAAACTCGCCCCACTTGACACTGAGGTCTTCTTCATCACGAGCCTGGGCGACCTGCTGGCGAAAGCGCGCCCAACGCCTGGGGAAGCGCGCGCATCCTGCCTTAGCAACAACTGGCATCCTCTTGGGCTGGCACGCTACTCTGCGCCACAGCTTGACATCAGCCCCACGAATGCCGAAGGAAACCGGTTTGTGGGGAGCGAGGCACACATCTTCGAGCACCACAGCGGGGGTGGTTCTGATAGCTAAGTTGGCACTTATCACGAAGAAGTCGATCGTGGAGCCTGGCACCGCTTGCACACAGGTCGGGTCCGCTGTGGCAGACACCACGCCCCCGAACGTGGCGGCCCACGACATCAGCTTGTCTGGCTCCATCTGAAAGTCACCCCCAACAACCCACTCGATCCCCATCTCGTTGAGACGGAAGAGGTAGGCCGCCACGCCCACCAGGATCGCAACATTCCTCTCCCCCATCTGGTCATCCACGTACAAATAGACGGATACAACCACGAAACCGCCTCGGACGGCACTGTGAACATGTCCTGCCACTGCTCTGCCTGGGACCAGCAGCCCGTGGTCACAACGTGGCGGCGCCGTGATCTGAACACGCTTAGGACATAGAACTGCCACACCACCTGACGTACCTCCGTTGTCTGTGTCCAGCGCCTTGGCCCACACCCCGTGGTACCCCGCTGCCCCCAGCCTCAATTGGTGGTCGGCCAGCTTGTCACTGAGATGGTGCTCCTGAATACAGAACACCGTCAACTCCTTGTCTAATGCCAGCGACGTGATGTCGGACTCCAGCTTGCGGACCATTGGCCCGTGGCTCGTAGTGTTGGCGGTAACCACTCTAACCATTGCACAAAAAGTGAGAAAACAACCTGATTACCGAAGGGATGGCATACCTACGCCCTCGTTCTGGCTTTCTTGGCAAAGCTGTCGAGCTGTTCACCTGCACGTTTGGCCGCGTCCCGAAGGTCATCCTCATCCTCGGGTACTTGAACATTGCAGGTCTCCAGGAACTCACGCAACGTGGCGGCATCGGCCGCCGAGAAATCTGGGATCCAGCTTGCGGCTGAGCTGGCTGCAGGCGCACTCCCTGCCGAAGGCGACGAGCGCTCCGCCTCAGCCGCCTCGGCTGCTGAGCGAGCTGCTGCTGCCTCCTACTCCCTCTTCTCGCGGTACACGCGCTCCGCCTCCCGCACTTCCTGGACCGCATCGTGCAATTTCTGCGCAGACTGCACCGAGCCTCCGAAGCCCTGCAGCATCTCCCCCAGCTGGCCCACGGAGATGTCGTGGAGCCCGCCCATGACCTGCTGCAGCGACTGCGCCTGCCCTTGCTCTGGCTGCGGTGGCTGAGGGCAGGCGACGACCAACTCGCGCCTCTGCTGCTCGATCTCGACCATCTCGCTCTTGGTGGCGCTGAGCTCCTTGTTGGCACGCGCCACCGCCTCCTGGGCGATCTTGACCTTCTCCTCCAACTCGCGAATGTTCTCTTCCTGCTTCGCAGCCTTCTTACAAAGCCGCTGATGCGTGAAAGAGAGCTCCTTGAGGCGTGTGTCCAGAGGTTTGGCTGCCGAGACTCGCTGCCGCAAGCGCGCCTGGCGCTCGCGCATCTGCTGGCAAGCCTGCTGTACCTCTTTACATTGAACGTCCTTGATTGCATCGATCTGCGAGTTGAGCTCCGCCAACTGCTGCTTGAGATCGCCGTCGGCCCCCCCCTCGTCCACCTCCATTGCATCCCGCGGGTCTGGAGGTGATGGCGGGGGCCCTCGAGCGATCTGCGCACGAAGCTTCTCCAACTCTGCCTGACATTGCTTAAGCTGTTGCTCGACCTTGCCACTGCTGCCCGAGGCTGCCCGCGGCTGCGCGTGCATGGCGGGGACTGCAGGCAAGGTGCGAGGGCCACCGTAGCAGACCGACTTGTGCAGGTTACACTTGCTGCAATGAAGGCGGTCGGCATGGTTCCACCAGTGCTCTCCCTGATTGTTCCAACACGTCTTGCAGTTCCACGGCTGGGCCCAGGCTCGGCGCTGCTGACCGCGACTTGAGACCAAAGGCCCTCGTGCACCATCGGGAGACATCCGCGGGGCGAGCCCGCCGTAGTGTAGGTACGCAAAGAGATGCGGGCTGATACCGCAGTACAGTGAAGGAAAATGTGCCGCCGCGGGGGGCGACCTGAGCAGTCGGGGGCCGTCGCTCCCCCACGCCGAGAGGCTCTGTCCTGAGCGAAACGCTACGGACTTGAGCCAAAATGGCTACGGACCTTATCGCGACTACGATTACCACTACAACCACGACTACGATTTCGACTACGAGTCCTCCCTCTCCTCCTCCTCCTCCTCCTCCTCCTCCTCCTCCTCCTCCTCCTCCTCCTCCTCATCTTCATCCTCCTCTTCATTCCCTCCCGCTGCTCCTCCTCATCCTCCTCTTCTTCCTCCCCAGCCTCCCCCTTAAGAACGAGACGAGGAGGAGCAGGAGGAGGACGAGGACCAGTGTAAGCCCATGACTCGTCAACGATGTTAGACCAGGAGTAGGAGGAGGAGGAGGAGGAGGAGGAGGAGGAGGAGGAGGAGGAGGAGGAGGAGGAGGAGGAGGAGGAGGAGGAGGGGGGGAGGAGGAGGAGGATGAAGAGGAGCATGTAACAGGAACGGCCGCGGGTGCACCACGCCGCGGCCGCCGCCCGACCTGCTCCCCCCCCCTCTGGGTAACGACCGTTGCCCGGGAAAGAAAAAAACGGTGCTCTCGCGTGTCTTCTGGAACCAACCTTAGGTCGGGCGTGTCCTTCTACAAAAAGTCCAATACTATTCATTACACAAGAGAAAAAACCCAATCAGTGGATGGTTTTCGCTGAGGAGATTGACCGGGAACCCGGGAGCCCAGAAACCCAGAACCCACCGAAATCAGCCCGGAACCAATAACCGGGAACCCGGGAACCCGGAATTGGGAACCCGGGAACCCAGCCTGCTACCAAAATCGGCGGGAAAGTCCCGGCAAATCTTTCCATTTCCGCTAGGACCCCTTCAGTGCAAGCACTGCTTGGGGAACAACATGGTCCCCGTATTGTTTTTTGGCTAATTTGGACCTTGACCTTCCAGGAGGGCTAAAACATAGCACGCGACTTGAAAACCCATCCCAGAGCCATTCTGCGTCTCGGTTTCAGGCGGTTTCGTTTCGTTGTTTTTTTAGGGTTTGTGGGCCTCCCGTGCTAAAAGATAGCTCTCTGGAGGGTCAGGGGAACATTCCTCCTGCAGAGGGGGGCCCGGCTCAGAACCAGCCTCGGCCGAACAGCAAGGGCTCCCACGAGGGCGCGAAGTTATTCGCGCTTCGCGCTTCGCGGTCCTCGTTCCTTCTCCCCTTCCTCCTCGTCCTCCTTTTCTCCCTTTGGGGGGGCGGCGCGAGAGCGCGAAGTTATTCGCGCCTCGCGCTTCGCGGAGCGCGAAGCGCGAAGTTGGGAGCCCTAGAACAGTTTCCCCGCCCCGTGCGCCGTGCCGGCGCGCTCTCTCGCGAGCGGGGGGGGGGCAGGCGCGGCCGGTGCCCGTGCGGCCGAAGTCCGGCGGCTGGAAGCCGGAGACGGTGCGCCGCCCCGGTCGGCGCAGACGCGCAGGGGC